ATTTAAACATGAAGGGTAACTGCAACTAACTCTTAAATGGCTCAAGAAAAAAAATGTATATACAATATAGAGAGCAAACGTGGCAAAAACGTTAATTGGTGAATTGGTTAAGGGTATAAAGGAGGTTTTGGTAATATTCTTGCAAGTCTTCTCCAAGTTTGAAAAAAGAAAAGAATGAGGATAGAGTAAAGGGATTTTTAGATGTGTAAGGTCTCCGAAGTTTATCTCAATGTCCACTTTTTTAATATATCACTGCAGGATGAGATGTGTTCCAAGCAAACAAGGAAGTGAAAGAACAAACATGCAACCATGGGATCAAGAAAACAGAATGCAACATAGAAGGGTTGTGAAAGGGAAGTCCTGGGATGAAGCTGCATTGTAGTCTGGAGAGGAGCCAGTCTAGTCTGGAGCAGGAGGACCCGGACAGAGGATTTATTTCCAATAAAATATAGAATTGATACATTAACCATTTGAGTAGTTTTATAGTTCAGACAGAGAATTTGGGGATGAATAAATGGACAGGGCCATCAAAGATAGAACAAACCAAAATCCGAGTTAATTATTAACTCCAGGGAAAATGAACAATTGCACAAGAAAGGAAATATAAATGATGTGGTTCAGCCATCAACAAGATTTATGTGGTCCCATTAATATAAAAATGAATATAGAATATAATCACTTTGGGAATGAGGGAGGGAAATGGTGTGTGAGTGGAGGGCATAAAAGAAATCATTCCTCATTTTCTGTAGTAAGAAATCAATAGATAATGTATCAAATGAAAAGATCAAGAAAAGTATTAGAAACCTCTAATTTGGGATTTATAAAGAAAACATGAGAAAAATGCTTCAAAGAATTGAAGGCAGTTTTCTCTGAGAAATGGTAGTTTTGGAGTAGGTAAGGATAAGCAGAGGATGTGTTTTTTCATAAACAGGGTTTGTTGGAATAGTCCCAGTTTATTCTTGTCAGTCTGGCATAATTTTATTACCATTGTCCCTTTCACTTTCAAAAGTATTCCAATTTGGATGAAGCCTTGAAGTGTTATTTGACTTTTTTGTTGTTGTTACTTGACTTTTTAAACTATGTATAGGTAATACTTTGATAAAAATAAAATTAAAAGAGACAACTCTTTGGATCCTAAATAAAATAACCATATTTCATCCAGCTCAGCCAAAGACTTTGATTTTCTTTTCTCTAAAATTAATTCTTCATTTTAAATTAAATACAAGCAGGCTTCCAGTTATGGAATGAAGTCACAAGAATAAAAGGCACAGCATGGGGAATATAGTCAATGATATTATAATAGTGTTGTATGGTGACAGACGGTAGCTACACTTGTGGTGAGCATAGCATAATGTATAGAGAAGCTAAATTACTATGTTGAATGCCTGAACCTAATGTAACATTATGTGTCAACTATACTCAAATACAAAAATTTTTTAAATTATTTTTTTAAGATTTTATTTATTTATTTGAGAGAGAGAGAGCACAAGCGGGGTGAGGGGCAGAGGGAGAAGCAGACGCCCCGCTGGGCCAGGAGCCCGATGCGGGGCTCGATCCCGGGACCCTGGGATCATGACCTAAGCCAAAGGCAGATGCTTAACTGACTGAGCCACCCAGGTGCCCCTCAAATACAAAATTTTAAAAAATAAATGAAACTTATAAAAGAAAACAAATTATGATATATATTGAATTGAAACCTTTAAAGCCAGGAACTAGCTTCTGTTTTTTTTCTGTATTTTTATTTGTACCCCTCAATAGAGTCTGCACTTTATATTGCTTTAGAGAATTTGTATCTGTATTTTTCTTGTATTTCTGCTATTAGGTCTACAAGAGGCCTACATTTTTTTTTAATTAAAAAATTTTTTTTTAGATTTCATTTATTTATTTGACAGAGAGAGCGTGCGCATGAGCAGAGAGAACAGCAGTGGGAGAGGGAGAAGCAGACTCTCCGCGGAGCAGGGAGCCCGACGCCAGGCTCGATCCCAGGAACCGGGGATCATGACTTGAGCTGAAGGCAGACGCTTAACCGACTGAGCCACTCAGGTGCCCCTTTTTTTTTAATTTTTAAAAAATATTCAATTTTGGAAAGCTTCCCCTACTAGACTTCCAATAACCTTGGCAACAAGGTCCTGTTTGACTTCATCCATGCATATGTCTCAGTTAACAAAGCTCACTGACTTGCTCATAAATACTGCTTGAATAAAGGAATGAATGCAAAATACCTACCTACATACATACAAGCAGTATGTCTGTTTCAAAGCACTTTTTACATCCACTGCCTCATTTAATCCTTACAACTGCTTTACGGGGTAAATATACCATCTTATTTTACAGATGATAAAAATGAAGTTTAGACAGATCTTGTGACTTTCTAACAAGGTGTTATAGCTAGTAGATACTAGGCGACACTGGACCAGGCCCACTAATGATGGTTCCCATGCTCTTGCCACAATATCAAATGATAAGTATTTAAGTCATTCCACAAGCAGAATCTGAGATGCAAAATCAAGAACTCAGGTTAATAGTCTGGCTGTTAGAGAAACAGATTATGAAAACCAATGAATAATTCAAACATCCTTTTGTCAGACTGGTCTTTGAACAGAAATTATAATTAGTCTGCCCAGTTAGGCATCGTGGAAATTGAAATCACCCTCATGGAAGGACAGACCACCCTCCCTTGGAGTCTCAGAGGATGAATCCCTGCTGCAAATCTCCAGACCAAGGAAGCAGTCCTAGTGGTTACTTTTCAAAACATATCTTAAAGTTATAAAAACAATGTGTGATTATTTCAGAAAAAATAATGAAATAGAGATAAAACACCAAAATTAAAAAATTTCAATTATCTAAATCCCATCACCTAAAAATGAACGCAGCTTACATTTCAGTGTATATATCTCTACCTTTGTCTAATACTAACACAAAAAAATAGGATCATATGATGCAAACTTCTTAGTAACCTGCTTTTCTCCCCCAAACACTCTATTTTGGGCATAGGTTCATGTGTACAGCCATTTGTCTATATGGTTCTTTTAGTAGCTGCCTAGTAGCTCACCATTTAGATTACTGTATTTGACTAATCTTCTGTCACTAGATATTTGGGTTGCTTGTTCTTTCTCTTTTTTTCTATTATTAACAATCAATTTTTTTCTATTATTTCTTTCTATTTTTTTGTTCTATTATTATTCTTCTACAGCAACAACAAAACTCTGCACACACATCTCTGTGCACATGTCCAATTATTTCCTTAGGATAACTTCCCTGAAGTGAGATTACTGGGCCAAAGAGCATGTATTCAGGGTGCCTTCTAACTCCTATTGTAAATTGCCCTCCTGAAAAGTTGTACATCCTATTGATAAAGGATGTAAATGCCTGTATCAATGTATCTCACCAAACCTGTGCATTTTTTGATCAGTGCTGTTACCTTTTCTAAGAGTTTAACCAGGAGGGAACAAGGCAAGCGGGTTGAGATCGGGGCAGTTGAAACAAAAAGAAATGCCAAAAGAGTTCTTTAATTCCTTCTTTGGAGTCCCTCCCACACTGGTATTTTTCCAGTTTGAAACTCTAGCCTGGATGGTTCCATCCTCAGCTCACAGCCCAAATTTCCCCACCTGCCCCTCTTTTATATTATTTGATTAGGAGTCAGTCTCTCTTCACTAGTGAGTACATTGCTTTGAGATGAGGGTTCACCTTATATGTCAAGGTTTGGACAGCCACATTGCCCAGTAACAGGGTCACCCTGACAAGCCTAAGGATTCCGAAATTTCAGAAACAACCTTGTTAGAATGAACTGTTTAATACAATCTCCCACACTGATCTGCCAGCCATGGAAACAAGGCCACATTGAGGCTGGTTAAGACACAGGATCAGAGGCCTAGAGCTGGTTGTACATTCCTACACCTCCTCCTTTGATTCTTCCTCCCTGCTCCCTGGGCCCATCCCCTCCTAAGTCCTCCTCCACTAGCTGGTCACTGAAATGCCTTTGTGTGCTTTATTCTAAAGGGGTGCCATTCTGAAGCTACATTCTCATGGTCCATTCTTTGTTTTCCATTTCCCATTTGCTCCATGATGGGGGATCACACCTCCATTCTTCCTAACCGCCCCCACACACACCCCCAAACCCAGTCAGGACATTTGACAGCTTTGCACAATGACTAACGTTTCTCTTGTAATTCCTGGGTCTTTTCCTTTCTCATCAAGGGAGCTGGTAGAAGCCAGCCTCCTCAGTTTAATTATGCAACCCCTTTCTCCCTCACGATTGGCAGAGTTCGACAGAAAGAGTATGCTCCACTGAGGTTAAATGCAGAACTGGATAGTGCATAGTCACCCACATTACTCACTTTATGTATGTTCCTGTGCTGGCAGTGGCCACACTCAGGGAGGGTAACAAAAGAAAAGACATGTAAACTTTGTACAGGGACATAGCAACCTTTGTCCTGGAAACTCACCGCCTCAATACCTGGCTTTTAACACCCCTAACACTGAAGAGGGGTAGGAAAAATTATAACAGGCGGGACAAGTGGGCCTAGCTCTAACTCCCGTTTCGGCCAAACCTCCTCCAATACACGTTGTGCACAAACTACATTCTCACCGAGAAACGGAAAATCATTGTTTTCTACCCCTCAAACAACAGTGCCCAAATTTTTCCAATTCACCAGAACCTAGCATAAACGTACTCATCTAGTTTTACCGATTTTAAGAGGATCATTAACTGCCCTATTTGTAGAAAAATACACAGAAAGTGACAGAGTCCAAAGTCCAACCCTTAGCCAAAATCATATACTAAACATCTTCAGGGCAAAAGGAAAGAGCGGAGGAGACACTGGAGAGGCAACTTTGGGAGCTGTTCCGAAGCCCAGCCAAGGTTGGGGCCCCGCACTGCTTTCTAGCCCCCTGGCTTAGCCGCCTCCTTTCCCCTGCGCACCCACTTCTCCCCTAAGCTGCCGGGGCGAGCGCTCCATCTTGGCCCCGCCCCGGCCCCGCCCGAGGCCCCGCCCCGCCGCCGACGTCAGTTGTTATGTCTCGGCCCGGGCAGGGGCCCCCAGCTGATCTGCTGCTGCCGAGGCGACTGCCGCGGCCTCGCGAGGTGGCCGGGGAGTCGGGGACGGCGGCCGCAACCCGCGCCGCCCATCTGAGCGGGGCGGGCGCTCCGTGGCTAGGAAACCGCCCCGGGGCCGCCCAGGGAGCCGTCTCGGGCCTATTTTTGCTTTTCTTCTTCAGGACCGTCGGCCCGCGCGCCCTATTTCTCTCTGCAGGGACCGCGACGCCCCCTCCCGGGCCGGGCCGCGGTGCCCGTCCGCCTGAAAGGCGCCGCCCGCCGGCCTGAGAGAACCTGGAGCCGCCGTCCCCGTGCCCGCCGCGCCTCTCGCGGAGCCTGGGCGGCCCGCGGGGCCTGGGGCCTGGGCGCTGGGCGCGGCGCTGCGGCGGCCGCTCCTCCCCGTGCTGGGCCCGGGGCCTGGCCGGGCCGAGCGCCGCGCCCTCCTGACCGGCCGGCGGCCGCCGCCGGCCGGCCCCAACCGCCTCCCGGGCTCGCCGCCCCACCGTCCCCGGCCTCCCGCCAGGACCCCGCTTCCTTTGTGGATCTGAATGATTTGGGGGGGCCTCCTCCCTCCCTCTTGAGATTACGGTGCCGGAAGGCCGACCCGCCACCTCGGTCAGTGCCCCCCGCCCGGGTAACGTCCCTCGTTTTGTTCCTCCCCGCCGGCGCTCCCCGCCCCGCTCCTTTCGGTGTTTGACTGATGGGTTTTTTTTAGTTTTTTCCCTTTATTTTTCTCGTCTCCTGACTGGAAGGCCCCGCGCGAGGCTCTGCGCCCGGGCCCCTCCTCGTCCTTTCCTCACCCTCGCGCAAATAGCCAAACCCCCAGCCCCCCGGCCGGCGATGGCGCGACAGTGAGGGCGGCGAGGCCGGACCACGCTGGGACAGTGCCCGCGCCCCGGCAGGCGTGAGCACACACTCCCCCGCTCTGCGCCCCTCTTTTTCGTCTTCCGAGCTCTCTGAGAAGAGAGAAGACGCAGGGGAAGATGTGGCTGAAGCTCTTCTTCCTGCTCCTCTATTTTCTGGTCCTGTTCGTCCTGGCCAGGTTTTTTGAGGCCATTGTGTGGTATGAAACTGGCATCTTTGCCACCCAACTGGTGGATCCGGTGGCGCTGAGCTTCAAGAAGCTGAAGACCATTCTGGAGTGCCGGGGGCTGGGATATTCAGGGCTGCCCGAGAAAAAGGATGTCCGGGAGCTGGTGGAAAAGTCAGGCGAGTATCCGGCGCCCCTGGGGTCCCCTCCACCCGGTGGAGGGGGCGATTTGTACTTCCTCGTACTTGGTGGTTCCTCCAGAATGAGGCATTACCTGGAAGGGTTAAGCAGACTACTCCGAGAGTTGTCCAGGTTTTCTTAAAAAAAAAAAAAAAAAAAAAAATCCAGTTTTGAGAAGGGGGCTGGAATTATTTGCACGGGTGTTGCTGTGTATTTTTAAGGTTTGTTTGTTTTTTAAATAACATATAAGTGCAGCTTCTTAGCATTGTTTACTAAGAAACAATTTTTTTAAAAAATAGGGAATGTCAGCTGGTTACAGACAAACTGGAAAGCACTTTTTGTCGGTTGAAATTCATAGGGATATAAGAAAAGGAAAACCCCAGAACGTTGTCTGTAGATAGCAGTATTTGTCACAATAGTAATCATAGCGCAATAACAGGAGGGGGAAATATTGGAATACTTAATATTAAAGAGGCATTTAGGGCTAAGATTTAAATTTTAAATCATGAGTTTAAATATGGAGAAAGTGTAAACTGCACAGCATTAGCTTTTCATTCTTTTAAGTTTGGTGAAAATAAAGTGAACATGTTTTGTGAATGCCTATCTTGTTTTGTTTTGAAAGAGTTTATATTTCTGTCAGCGTTTTAAAAAAATCCTTATGTCTTGGATGTAAACTTTTTCCTTTTAGAAGTCACAGATACAGCTGCATAAACTTAAATGGATTGAGAAATAGAATGGAAATAGTGCTAAGAGAATATTTATTTAACATCTTAAGCAGTGCATTGTTAGTGACTGTTGGTTTGGGGGTAGGATTGAATAAGAAATATGGTTAATTTTTTAACCCCTGGACAAAATATATCTTTGTTTAGGTAAATGTCCTAGAAGGGGAATGTACTGTAACTTGAGAAAGACATTCTGAGTTGCTGTAGGAAGCAGTTGAAACTGATGGTTATCTTTTTTGTTTCAAATATATCAGCTGTGTCTTTTACAAGACAGTTTTTTTTCCCTTATTTAGTACTCTATAGCCCTTGTTGTGGGATAGACAAGAATACTAACTCCAGAGGACTTTAGCACTACATATTTGCCAACCTTGAGGATTATCAAATTTGTATCTCACTACTGGGGTAGAGGAGGGAACCCTCTGTAGATGCGATGCTTTTTTTAAGAGAAGACATAAAATCCATTTTTTTTCTTGCCTCTTGTTTACTGACTGGTTTATGGTGACTGACTTCTACCACAGGGGTGGGGGATGGGAAATGGAGTAAAGATCTCTAATAAATGAATTTTCTAGGTTTAGAAGTATCTTAACTGCCAAAGCTAAATCATTTCTCATGGTAAAAAAAAATTTAACAACACTTTTTTCTTTTGACTTTTATTTAGTGTTGCTTCTTTTGGGCCTAAAAATACTTGTCACTTCGGGTGTACAAGGAATGCACATATCATTTAAAGAATACACACAGCCCACAAACGTATGACTCAGATCACACATTTTATAGCAGAGAAGTCTTGGTATAGCAATTTAACTTTATAATTTAGATATTCGTTGTAAACGATTTTGCTGCTGTCATGCTTGTTTTCACATTTAAGGCAAAAATTAAAATAATTTGACATTAGTGTTTACTTTTTATTTGATGATACAAGCTCTCAATTTACACAGTAAATTTGAGTATGAGTGTGGTTTTTTTTCTTATAGGTAATCTTTTGTATCTAACCTTCAAGTCTTATAAACCCTGTTGCTATTTTAAGCAGGTGGTAATGGCAAATTCTGTAAACTCATTTCTAAATCTTGTAAGTCAGAAGTATATAAATCATACTGTTTAAAAATTATTTGAAGCCCGGCATGTTATACACAAAACTAAGTAATACTGTGATGGCTTTTTGGACTTACCAGGAGATTAAGTAATTTCCTAACAAATTATGTGATGACCCCACTAGAATATAAGCTCCATAAGAAGATGGATTTTTGCCTGACACATAGTAGGTTTTTATGACATTTTTACTGAGTGAATCTTAAATGGGTAGGTATATTCAGGTTCTACTTTTCTGTAGACTGAACTAGAAGTACTGTGACATGATTTTTAACAGTGTAAAATGGAATTAATCATTGAAGTTAGGAATGTAGAATTTTTTTTTTTTTAAGATTTTATTCATTTGAGAGAGAGAGAGAGCACAAGCAGGGGGAGAGGCAGAGGGAGAGAGAGAAGCAGACTCCCTACTGACCTGGAGCTCATGACCTGAGCCCAAGGCAGATGCTTAACCCAGATCTGAGCCACCCTGAAAATGCAGAATTTTTGAAATCTTACTAGTGTTATTTTTTTCCGTTCTTCAGGTGACTTGATGGAAGGTGAGCTCTATTCTGCACTCAAGGAAGAAGAAGCATCTGAATCCGTTTCTAGTACCAATTTCAGTGGTGAAATGCACTTCTATGAGCTTGTAGAAGACACAAAAGATGGCATCTGGCTGGTTCAGGTATCAGAAACAGTGACAGAAGTGAAATTATTTTTACCAGACTAGTATTCACCAGTTAGTGACACTTCTGTGTACTTGTGTCATGTTTCTTAAACATAACTCAGTCCTCACAGGGAGGCTCCAGTGTCCTCTTAAAGAGGTTTTGCAGATCAAGGAAAATGAGAAGTGAAGAGGGGGGAAAGGAAGCTTTGGGGAAAGAGAGTTGACAAATCCATTGTAGTTGCTGGATCTTCATTAAAGTTAAGAAACACACAGATATATTTCTTTTGTTGAGCGATTTGCACTGTTTCAGTTTTGGTTAACCAGTTTTTAAGTCAGTGATCCAAATGACTTTTGTATCTAAAGGAAGAACCCTGAAGTAAATTACAGTAAGAAAATCCTGCTATTAGGGAAATAGCCAACTTTGTGACTATAGAGGACGAGATATTTTGGGGAGTGGTGGAGAGTGCTCATTACTCTGTTTATGAAATTGATGAAATGATAATTTTTTTTTAAACCCTAAACTCTTGTGATATCAAAACTGTGAAAATTAATTAGCATATTGAGTTGTAGAGCTATGAAGGGCCTAAAAAATAGTCTTTTATGCTTCGCAGAGATTGAGTTGTAGAGCTATGAAGGGCCTAAAAAATAGTCTTTTATGCTTCGCAGAGTGTGCTTTATGTACCACTGATGGTAAATGAGTGGGCACACATTATCATTTATGGATTTTAATGCAAATTAGAAAAGTCAATATTGAACATGTAATTTCATAAATATGATTTAGGGCAAGGCTAAAGTTATTTAAATTGTTAAAAATATAAGATCACTTAAAGTAAAATATCTAGTAAATTAACAGCATGATTTTGGCTAACATTATGAATATTGAATCAGGATCAAATCCCAGGACCCCAGATGTCTTGTCCAGTACTATTGTCATTTCACACTGGGGTTAGCTGTTTGATTCAGGGTATAAAAATCAAAATTGCTTCTTCATATTTCTTTCTGAGGACAATGATGTCAAATATGGTAGAAAAAGCTAGGAGTTCAGAGAACTTAGATGCAGATCTGGTCCTGTCATAGATTTGCAATATAATTATGGGTAGACAGATTTTCTGTTGTACCTGGCCTCAAATAAAACATATACATCTAAAGAGGATGGAATAATACTGTGGTCCACGGAGCTAAAGAGTAAAGAGTTGAGATTTGGGAATTCTTTGGGTGATTACATTAGCTATTCATCACTTTCCTTTACATGCAGTCTTCCTATTGTGTTTGACCTTTTACCTGCCAAATAATCTAAGTCTAATTTTTAAATTCAGCAAAGGGAGAACCTGGGAGGTTATGGGTATAGTCTATACATTATCCATCAAATTCTAGTTTATCTCTCTGTGAATTAATTGGTATTGGAAAATAAACTAGTATCTCCAAAGCTTTAATTTATAAGTAAATAGTTATTCCATTTCCTTTCCCAGATACTTATATCTGATGGTCTGATCAAGAAAGACTTGTTGGCTTTGATAATTTTTAGTTTTATTTACTGAGGTTGAGTTGACTAGCCTGTCCCATTTACCTGTGTTCTCTGTTTAAATGTTTGTCCAATAATTGAATGATCCCATAGAGATGAATAATAAATAGATGCTGAACACCTTCCAAACTTGGAAAAGCCATGTCAAAAGTCTAAATATATTCTTTTGGTATATAGGATTCTACCTATAGATAATTAACACATTCTGGTTCACTAATTAACATATATTCTAGGCTTTAAATGATCTACTGTTCTTTAATGTTTTTTTTTTAAGACTTTTTTAAAAAAGATTTTATTTATTTATTTGAGAGAGAGAACAAGCACAAGCAGGGGAGGTGGGGCAGAGGGAATGGGAGAAGCAGACTCCCAGCTGAGCAGGGAGCCCGATGTGGGGCTCGTTCCCAGGACCCTGAAATCATGACCTGAGCCCAAGGCAGATGCTTAATCGACTGAGCCACCCAGGCCCCCCGCCCTGGGGTTCACCTGGGTGGCTCAGTTGGTTAAGCCTCTGACTCTTGGTTTTGGTTCAGGTTATAATCTCGCAGTTGTGGGATCAAGCCCCTCATGCAAACGTGGAGCCTGCTTCAGATTCTCTCTCCCTCTCCTCCTCTGCCCCTTGCTCTGCTCTCTCGCTGTCTCTCTCCAATAATAAAATCTAAAAAAATAATAAAGATAAACATGGATTAAACTCTGTTAATAGGTGACGAAATTCAAATAGTTTATTTAGCAGTTAGTTGTATGCCAGGCCCTGGAGATAGACTAGGAACATACACCAGGGTAAGTCCTTGCTCTCTCAGGCAGCTCACATTCCAGTTGAGAGAGGTATGCAATAAATAAGTAAATATTTAATATAGCATCAAGTTAGTGGAAAATGCTAAGAAGAAAAATAAGGAGACTGAGAGTGGCAAAAAATTCTGATAAGGGGACACTTGAATGAAATGAAGAACAAATAATGATAGTGAATGTTAGCATTATAAATTCTAATCACTAAATTTTTTTGCTCTGAAAATATTAAATAAGCCTCATAAGGTATTAGTAGTTGAAAAACGACTCCTAAGAAAAATGGAATGTATGTGGTTTTCCATGTGTTCATGGTAGTAGGACATACATTTAATTTTTCCAGTGACCTTCAGGATTTGTACTGATCACCAGTGTCTGGCTTGTGTCTCTTGGGGCCAGTTGCTTACATCTGTCAGATGGCTGTCTTGGGTTAGAAGAACAATCTCTGGCAGGACAACTGAGAAGATTGAGATTGAAACCCTGTCTTCACGCATTCTGAAGTCACCAGCTAAGCTAATCAGCACAGATAGTGGTGTAAGCATTTAAAAGAGGGCTGTTGGTTTTTTGTTTTTAAATTGAAAATGTCTGTTAGAAACAAGATTAAGTATTTTCTCGGTTGCTTGTCATTCTTTCAGCTTAGGTCATATTTATCTAATCCCTTTTGAAGGATAACTTTTAAAATTCTGTTCTTAGTAATTTGAATTATCATTCTTTTCTGTTTATTTTAAAAAGCTAATTTCAGTTTGCTGTGTCATTTTTTTTTAAATTTTTGATTATGCATAGATCCCGGCCAGTTCAATCCTCTTCAGATTGCCTTTATTTTAGGTATCCTATGTAAGAAATATTTAAGCACACCAGAATTCTTTCTTTTCCTCCCATTTTTCTAATATCATTCCTTACTCCTATGAATTATGTTTTCTTTTGTATTTATTGAGAAAAAATGCAGTTAGATGGCATTTAGTTGATAATTAGCACTTTAGGCTTCATAAATCATGTCACTGAAAGGATGTCTGGATTTACTTATTTAGAGAAAATATGACTTTAATAAATGGATATATGACTTAGCTATTCCATCACATAGCTCATTATTTTTCTGGAATGGATGGGTAATCTAGGTTGATTATTATCTTTTTTGGTGATACCAATGTGGAATGGTGATGCTACATGAGAAAAATTGAATTTGTACAGTTTATTTAATTCATCCTATATTTCTTGTAATTTCTATCTTTGCAATTCACACTTTGATTTTCTGCATGGTACATGTTAATGGCCTTTTTATCTTTCTCTTAATTGTTTTAAGATGTATTAATGCTCATAAATTATCCTTACATTGAACCAGAGTATTAGGATGCTCCTTTCATGTCAGGTTTTCCCATGTCTATCCTATATTCTCTGTAATATGAGGTGAAAAGAACTAATTTTAGTTTTCCAGGCAGCAATACATATGGGACATCGTTATCATCAATATACTATGTAACCCATGGAACAACTGAGTCCTCTTTTTTCCTAACAGTTCTTTCTAACATTCTAAGTTTTCCTGCTTTGTTCCTAACCTCGGCTCATATCTCTCATCAGTTATTTATCTTTTAGTGTTCTGGATTCTTTGGTTTTACCACCACCCAATCTTCTGAGCATCACAAATTGAAGACAGTTATTTTTTTTTCTCTCTCTCTCTTCAGAAAACTCTTAGAGAGGCAGATGGAACAATGGCTAGGCTTCTGAAATGGAAAAGTTAGCATGCTCTTTGGGTTTTATGGGTTCATCCTATCTTAACATTTCTATTTCTCCTTTTTGACCTTGTTCAGTGAAGGACTGTGATATTTGTTCCCTACTGGCTTTATCCCCATCATAAGGAATTTACTGTCACTGGAATTGAGGTAGCAGTGAAAAGCATCATGTGATTTAAAGTAAAGCTTTGGGTCAATATTTACTGAAGTATTATGTTACTATATTTCCTGTTTGGCTAAAAAGAGTTAATAGCTATCTTAAAACTTGTTTAGCTTTGTTCTAGACAATAGTTCTATCCCGGGAGATTCTAACCTATTTATTCCTTTCATGACACTACTCTGAAGGTGAAATACATGGCAAGCCATTTTATCATTTATTTTGTATGGTGAAAAACTTTTATTTTTGTTTATTCATAAAGAAAGCTAGTGGGATACCAAGGAAATAATTAAATGCCATTGAATTTTGTTTCTGTCAATCACTTGTCCTTTTAATGATTTTATACAATTTGCATATATTTATTTAAGTTGGTCTATGATTTTGAAAGTAGAAACTCCCCATTAATAATGAAATATTGGGGGATGCCTGGGTGGCTCAGCCGGTTAAGTGTCTGCCTTTGGCTCAGGTCATGATCCCAGGGTCCTAGGATCGGGTCTTGCATCGGGCTCCTTGCTCAGCGGGAAGCCTGCTTCTCCCTCCCCCACTCCCCCTGCTTGTGCTCTATCTCCCTCTTTCTCTTTCTCTGACAAATAAAATCTTGGGAAAAAAAATAATGAAATACTGAGAGCTGCAGAAAATATCATAGCCCAGCACTCCTCTTCTATGGAGTTTTGTTATTTAATTTAGCCTAGATTTATATGGCATATGTTCTGATTAGTAATAAAACCCACCTCTAAAAATTAGGCAAAAGTATATGGTTTTTTTTTCTTATACCAATGTAACACCTATAATACATGTGGAAGGGAATAGACAATAATCTGAGGCCCAGTTTTTCTTTGTAAGTTTAACTGGACTACACGGGATTGACATCAGAAAATATGGGCACTTAGCATCACACACTATCTGACACAGTTCCATGCATGATGTGCTGGAGCCAGCTCACACTGCTTCATGAAGGGTGATTGTTAACATCTCTTCCCAGCTCCATGTTTAGAGATAACATGTTGGATGGGGCGCCTGGTTGGCTCAGTCGGTTAAGTTGTCTGCCTTCAGCTCAGGTCATGATCCCAGGGTCCTGGGATTGAGCCCCATGTCGGGCTCCCTGCTCAGCGGGGAGTCTGCTGCTCCCTCTGCCTGCCACTCCCCTGCTTGTGCCCTCTCTCTCTATCAAATTAAAAAAAAAAGATAATACTTTGGTAACTTGAAATCACCATATGGTAGTATTTATACCAAGGAAACCAGCAAGTAATAGAAATAAGCCCCTTTTTCTTTTGGAGAGCTAGTTGTTAAACCTCTACCAGCAAACCACTGGTTCCATCCATTCATCTAACCATCTAACAAATATTTATTGAAATCTAATGTGTGCCAACTGAACCTTAGGATTAGCACTGAGGGCACAAAGATGAATAACCTATAGCCTGTGCCTTAAGACAGCTTATAGTTTGGTTTACTAAAATGTGTAGACCAGGGGCACCTGGGTGGCTCAGTCGTTAAGCGTCTGCCTTCGGCTCAGGTCATGATCCCAGGGTCCTGGGATTGAGCCCCACATCGGACTCCCTGCTCCGTGGGAAGCCTTCTTCTCCCTCTCCCACTCCCCCTGTTTGTGTTCTCTCTCTCGCCGTGTCTTTCTCTGTCAAGTAAATAAATAAAATCTTTAAAAAAAATAAAATGTGTAGACCAGTAAAATCTTAGTATATGATTATCTTTCAGCTGAGTTAGATGGCCCATGATGGTGCTAGCATCTTGAGAGATCCTAAAGAACTCTATTAGTGAAGTGGGACCTAGGAAAATTGTGGTAGTTTTTTTCTGGAAAAAGTATATTTTTAAATTCGTTGAATTGAAAGTCCTTGTGTCTGACCGGGTCAAGAACATTAATATGCAATTGCATAGCAAGGTACTATTTATGCTAATGTTTGTCCGGAAAGTATTCCAGATGATAGGTTGCTAGGGAAGGGACTTATAACAGATACCAAAAATTTGGTGGCTTTAGAGAACTTGTATAGTCAGAAGTAGAAGAATGAGGTTACTAAGCTGTAAAAAGCTGAAATAGTTTAGTTAAACATAAATATTTAATGAGTACCCAAATGATTTAGGCACTATACTAGCTGCAGGAAATGCAATGGTGAGCAAGTGTAGGGATGCCAGTTAGAGAGGCAGATACCAGGGAAGGGGGAGGAAAGATTCCTTCACTTCCAGCTTATGCTGCCAACTCTGTTCCAGACTTGGAACTTGGGCTGTACTTTCATCTAGTTTTTTTCTAGTCTCTGAAAATATTCCCCACAGAGAACACAACATCTTTCCTGAACTGCCGAGGAATATGTCTCTGCTTTTAATAAGACCAGCAGTGTGAGTGCCTCTCAGAATCATCGTGCATACTTTTGGATATGAGCTGTAAGCTGGGAACTCTTACTGGTGTGACACAGTAGTAATAGGCTTAGAGTATTTGATTGTGCCATGTGACTCAGCCAGATGGGTTATTTTGTGAAAATATTAAGATTTTTAGTAGTGGTTTAATTCAGCCTCTACAAAATTTAATTTATGCTAAACCTTAAGTTGAATAATAGAACTATATAGGGCATTGAACAGAGCAATTTCTAATTGCATAAATATAACTTCAGAGTCAAATAAAATGCTTTCATGCAATGAATGCCTAGGGGAGTTTTCATTTTTGTGAGGCTCTCTGTGTTAGGAATCATTAAACTCTTCAAAAGCAGGCGTGGGTACAGCTTGCTGAATAATGAATAAATAAGGCCCTGGGGTTAAACATTGTTATGTACCTGCTCGGGTGTCCTACCTCTGATCACAAACATGTTTTCTGTGCTGTAACCAGCAGTGCCTGCCAACGACCCCCTGTCATTCCTACTTCCTTTCCTAGCATTGGAGCTCTTGTAAGTCTGAAAGATACCTGTAAAGTGGTCAGGATATTCACTGAAAGATGCCCCTAGACTCAGGGCCATACCTTACATTGATTAAAACAACCTCTTAATTAACCCCTGATGCAATGTCATTATAAACACTGACCTGAAATGTTTGGGTTATTTGCAGCCTTGATCAGGAAATGGAAGTGAAAAGTTCTTTAAGAATTCTTTTAAAAAGTAGGGAGTATGGTGGTATGATCGCACAGAGACTTCTTAAACCTCAGTAATCTGAAAAATAAGTCAAGATTTCTTTGATTACTTGATGGAAACAAGAACTACCATTTTGACTCTTGAGTAGTAGGGGGAAAAAGAAAAGAAATGCATGCCCTGCTTTTTTTTCCTGATTATTCAGATAAAATATATCCAATCCTTTTGGACCATGGAAAAATGAGAGCTAGGGACTTAGTGGGTAATGTAACTGGCGTGAACCTCCTCAGAAAGAGCTTTCATGTCCTCAGATTGCCCTCTTCCTGGTTACCTCCACCATCTGAGCACTTGAATAAATAATTTGTGTCTCCCTCAATAAGGCCTCTATTTTCACTAAAAAGCACACAATGAATCATGGAACACTACATCAAAAACTAATGATGTAATGTATGGTGATTAACAACATAATAAAATAAAATTAAAAAAAAAAAAAGCACATCAGTGGGGCGCCTGGGTGGCTCAGTCATTAAGCGTCTGCCTTCGGCTCAGGTCATGATCCCAGGGTCCTGGGATCGAGCCCCGCATCGGGCTCCCTGCTCCACGGGAAGCCTGCTTCTCCCTCTGCCACTCCCTCTGCTTGTGTTCCCTCTCTCATTGTGTCTCTCTCTGTCAAATAAATAAATAAAATCTTAAAAAAAATAAAAGGCTCATCAAAACCATTTGTTGAATGCTTTAAATTGTGTATGCGTTTATGTATTTATTGAAGCATCAGAATTATTACAAAATGTTACATGTAGCATGTATGTCTCTATAGATGTGGGGATGATGGTAGCAATGGTATATGCTAGGGGTTAGTGGACATAAAGTGAATTTCAAGTCATTTGTCACCACCACATGCTCTCTTTCTGCTAACCTTGAAATTTATTAGGTTTCCCAGCAGAGAGGCCACAGTGAGTTAGCTATACCACTCTTGTGTCTCCCAGGGGTACATATTGGCACTCATTTCACACACACACCTGGGATTTCATTTCCTGGAGGCTTTATGAACATGAAAATGGCCCTTCTTCCCAGAAAGGACCCCAGAGTATTGTGTTGTGATTTTGAATAGATAACATCAGTTACATAGCCTTTTATGAAACTTGGCCTATATACCCTAGGTTTAAAATAAATCAAACAGATGGTTTCGTGTAGACTTTAGACATTTTGGCTTTCCTTTAAGTTCCCACTTAGTTGTTTTTGTGTTTTTGTTTTTAACATGTAATTTTGTTTTTTACTGGTATGTCTGTTGAAGTCTTTCCTTCATTCAGAGGAGAAAGATTAGGGAATAAAAGGAAAAGGTGTTAACGATTAGAAAGGCTAAGAAGCCATGACACATTTTGAAGGTTAACTTACAGTTTTCCTTTTTCCTTCTTTTATTTTTTAAAAAATCTTTTACTTCTCCCAATCTTGGTTGTGTTTGAAAGCTATTTGCAAGTTTGAAGTAGAAGTTCAAGAGTGTAGAATTCATTATGGTAACTTTTTTTTTATATGTTAGAACCTTTTCATGATTGTTAAGAAAAAGCCTTTGAAGTAATAGTATTTGTTTAGTTAAAGCATAGCTTAATAGAAAACATGTGTTTGACTCTTGGCTCCATAATTATATTTTTAAAAAGTGAAATTTGAACTCATTGAACCCACATGTGATAATTTCTAGTAAGCTTTATTTACATTATTTAAAATTCTTGGAGCAGAGAAATGCCTCCAAAGGCCATTTTCTTCCTGTGTAATGTATTTCTAGAGAATAGGCCTACAGGGTGGAGAATGTGGCTAGCTTTTTAATATGGTTTTGATTCCCCTTGATGTAACTGCCACAGAGTGTGGAGGTTTAATGCACTGTATTCAGTGTTTTAAGCCTTTTGAGTTGGGCAGTTGTTCCTTCTACGAGAATTGCATTGATAACTGGGAACAGAATCTTTTTGCAAAAGATAAAGATGTATTACAGATAATAAGTGGTTGGTTTGACTTCATTTTAGGTAATTAAAGTTTCTGTTTGTTTGTTTGTTTGTTTGTTTCTGGGCAAATAGGTCATAGCAAATGACAGAAGTCCCTTGGTTGGTAAAATCCACTGGGAGAAAATGGTGAAAAAGGTGTCAAGATTTGGAATACGAACAGGCACTTTTAATTGTTCCAGTGACCCCAGGTGAGTTGATTAGGCAATTCTTAGAATTTGAGTTCTGACCAGAATTGTTTTAACTAATGAAGACAATGATTTTAGAAACCTATTTGAACTGAAAGCTAATTATGTTTAGCACACTGTTAGTTACACAGGTGCTTGATTAATAGTTTTTGATAGATAAACTGGCAGTTACTTATTTTCCTTCTGAGATGACTTTCTCTCTCTATCCCATTCTTCTATATTCTTTCTAGTGGGGGTGACTCTTAAGAGTATGTCTTTAGTCCTTTTGGTTTCAATTTTCTTCCCAGAAAGACCTTAGCACATTTATAGCTTTGTACTGATTGAAATCTTTTGTCATAATTCTGACCTCTAGTTTTCATGAGGACACTCATTTCCATCTGCCTTACCCCTAGATGTGTCCTTTTCCTTAAACCCAATGTCCAAATTCAGATTTATTCTTTTTTTCTTTAATCAGACAGATACCCTTTCTACCTTTCCTTTTTCTGTTCTTTACTGTTGTGTTTTGTTTTGTTTTCCCATTTTCTCAGACAAGAATCCTTGCAGGCATTTCTCTTTTCTTTTGTCATCATCTCCAGTATTTCATCTGTTGTGTTATTTCTTACTTCATTATTAAGTTATTTCTTTGAAATGCGTTTTATTTCAACTTCTGGTGCCATCAAGTTTTAACTTACATATATTCATTCATTTAATTACTCTTTCAGTAAATAGTTCATAAAAGATTAGCATGTACAGCATGTTCTGTTTAGTGCTGAGGAGGGGGGCATATGATGTATATGTAGAAAACCTCACAACATTAGGTAGTTTCTAAGGTAAGAAATACACCTGACTTATCTATGTCCCTTACATGTGGCCCCAATGGGAAGCCCATTAGTGGTAGAAAACCCTCCTATACTACTGTTAAACCTGAGATTTTCCTTTCTTCTTTAAGCCCATGTTTGCTTTATTTTACCTCAAGATTGTTTTGCTGGTATTATAGGGTGTTGTGATCCACACCCTAAGGTGTAGAATCCCTTAAGAGTTGGAGATAAGAAGGAAAATTCTTGTATCTACTAACTCACGGTCTCCTCATTTACCCACAAAATTCACATTCTCTTCACCACAGAATCTTGATCATATTCTGATGCCTTTTGTTGAAATGTCCAAAACAGCCTTAGTGTTAATGTTCTAATGAAAAAGAAATCATTGTTATTTTTGTCCTTTGTTTATCAAAGACAGTTGCATTTGGTGTGATCCCATCATTCCCAAATAGACTCTGAGTGAAAAATCTTTCTCTCCCTTACTAGTGATTGCAATACCAGAACAAATGATAATGCCAATATTTTGATTTTTTTTTCAGGTAATGCCAAAAGTCAGTATCACTATTTTTTGAAAAATATTCAGAATTGATTTTGTAAAAAATCTGTGAACTAATTAATACATTTCAACACTGTAACTTATAAATATATTAGAAAATATCAAGTAAAAATAAATTTACAAAATATAAAAGTTAAACACATGTTACAGTCTAATATAAATTGTTACATAACATTAAGAATTCAAAAATAAACTAAGAAAAACGGAAAATGATAATCTATTAACATGAAAAACTAAAGGAAATAGTAGTAGTTGACTTTTTTTGGTGTAATCTTATAAAGCAAAATGCATCAGAAGTATCATAATTGAGTCTAGCAGATTTTAATGCAAACTTTTCTAGCTTTTCTTTGGAAAACTCTGAGTCTATACTAGCTGAAGAATGGTAAAGAGATACATATAAGCAACTTCCATTTATTTTCCTCTAAATCCTTCGTCTTCAAATAATCTCACCTCTTATTTATGATGGAACATCATTTTTTAGCAAATTTTGATTTTTTTTGTTGATTGCAGCTATTATTTTTTGTTAATAAAACACTTTTAGGGGCGCCTCGGTGGCTCAGTCAGTTAAGCATCTGACTTGTGATTTCTGCTCAGGTCATGATCTCATGGGTCATGAGATCGAGCCCTGTGTTAGGCTCTGTGCTAAACGCAGAGTCTGCTTGGGATTCTCTGCCTCTCCCTCCTCCTCCTCCTCCCCCCTCTGCTTACTCATGTATGGTCTCTCTCTCTCTCTCTCTCAAGTAAATGAATAAATAAAATCTTTTTGAAAAAAACACTTTTACTTCACCTTCATTTTCATCACAAAGGTGAAGATTTTGATGCATAGTTACTCATACCAGTTTCAATATCATCATATTCATGTTTCCTTTTATTGGGAAGGTCTTACAACTAGAGTAAGAACTGTTCTTGCCATAGAAGCTGTGCTTAGGGGCGCCTGGGTGTCTCAGTTGGTTAAGCCGACTGCCTTCAGCTCAGGTCATGATCCCGGAGTTCCAGGATTGAGTCCCGCATCGGGCTCCCTGCTCAGCGGGGAGTCTGCTTCTCCCTCTGACCCTCCCCCATCTCATGTGCTCTCTCTCTCAAATAAATAAATAAAATCTTTAAAAAAAAAAAAAAGCTGTGCTTAGGATCATTTTTTTTCTTCTTTTGAGGATTTTGGAAATATAGAAGAACCAAATAGATACAGAAAAGTATGTTCAGAATGTCAATGCAGGAGCTCCTGGGTGGCTCAGTTGGTTAAGTGTCCAACTGTTGATCTCAGTTCAGGTCTTGATCAGGGTCGTGAGTTCAAGCCCTGCATTGGGCTGCATGTTGGGTGTGGAGCCTATTAAAAAAAAAAAAAAAGGAATGTCAATGCAGGGTATAACTGGGCAGGGAATAGTGTTTTTCAGCAAGTGTTTTAATCGTATGTTGAATAATTGAATCATCATCTTGATTTCAGATTTTTATAAACACCAAACTCTCTACTCTGCTGTTTGTATTGCTTTCTTTACCGGAGTTCCTTCTCTGGGGTGGCCTCTGGGCAGCCTCCTCCGATGTGCTGGTCCCATTGTACAGCAGTGCAGGTTTCCTGACTTGGTTAGCTCCCCTAAGAATATTCAGGACCACCACCTCTGGGCAGCACCTGACTGTTGGGCAACAGTTTTAATTTCTTTCCCGGCATACTCAGTTTGCCTGGCCCTAATTTCTCTCATTCCCCAACCAAGCAGTATAGCTTACAGGGCTAAAAAGCCCTCTGGTATGTCTATTCTCTTGTCTTTTCTTTGAGAAAGTACATGGTGGGGTGTGTCTAAGGAATTAGAGAGGTGGGGGATAGTAAAGAGCAGATTGAAAACATTGTAATTATAGGAGCTGAGTGGCAAATGGGTCAGGAGGGCTTCTGGTGAGAGTAAAAGGGTAGAGGGCCTGTGGAATAAGCAGAGAAGGGAAAGTGAAGGAGAGATTGGAGAGCAGGCCTGGAAGGCCAAGGAGGCCAAAAACCTCATCTGAAGAAATCACATTACATAAATAGAAGTATTAAGGTTTCTTTTTAAATACTGAATGTCACACAAGAAACTGGAGTAACAAACTCACTAAGCATGTTTTCTATCATTTTTAGTCTTCAAATTCTCTGAGATCTCAAAAGGTTTACTTTTAAGAACTAGAGGTTATTTTCATGGTATTAATGTGGAAGGTTAAACCTTAAAGCTATCATGTAACTGAACTGAAAAGAAAGCGCATGATACATTTGTTTTCTTGCATGAAGAAATGTATGTACTAAGACCTTCGCCTGTTTTACACAATAAGGTTTTCTGTTAGAAAGATTGGCATTTAAGTTATGGCACAACTCAGAAGCCAATATTCTCTGAGGTAGTTATAGAAAGATAAAAGAATGATCAAGAGTAGAAATGTCTCATCACACGTATCATATGAAGTTTGAAAATTAAAGCTACTTAAAGAAATTAAAGATGTAAATAAGGCAACTATCTATTTGACTTGTTGCTTTTTGGGGTGGAGGGTAAAAATAGAATTCATGTCAATGAGTTATTACTTTGCATTATACAAATACAGTGTTAAGGGTTTAAAGATATTATCTTTGTAGGAATTCATAATTCTCAAACCATTTCACTTAAAGCAATATTGATATTAGTGGAATCTATGCTGTTAAGGAAGCAAATCAACTCAGCAAGAAGCTGAATCATGTCTGTGATTCCAAGTCACCCAGATAGTTTCTCATAGTCGTTACTAACCTTGTCTTTATGACATAACATGCTATCTTGATTTATCTGAAGTTAAATCACAAAATTCCTGAGATACAACTAATTGTATTATCATTATAAAACCATATGACCTATGTTGAGACTTTTAATCTGATCATATAAATGTGTAATGTGCTTATTTAAATAAAATAAAATCCATGCTGGGACACCTGGCTGGCTCAGTCAAAGGAACATGCAACTCTTGATCTCGGGGTTGTGAATTTGAGCCCCACATTGGGTACAGAGATTACTTGAAATAAATAAAACTTAAAATATATATTTATACACACACACACACATAATCCATGTTTACTAAGTAAAGCATAACACTTACGGTTTTATGATTTTTATATTTTGAATAGCAAAATAAGAAATTGGACATTTGTTACCATCCATTTACAAATCTGTAACGAACAAAATGTACCTGCATGGTAGATTTTCTTTTTTCCAACTTATTGAGGTAAATTTACAAAGCATAAAACTCCACATGGTAGGTTTTTGGAAAAAAATACTTTTTTAAAAAAAGGGAAATGTTGCACTTACAATCTCTCCACTGTCATACAACAGCTTTTTATTTTTCAGTATTTCATTTTTCATCTAGTTTTTTTAGGGGGAGAGTGATGTCACAAATAATATAGCAAGAACTTGTCCATTTGCAAAAGGATTGGAGTCATGACCACACTGGTTAAATCTAAATAAATGGGGGCACGTGGGTGGCTCAGTCAGTTAAGCATCTGCCTTCAGCTCAAGTCATGATCCCGGGTCCTGGGATCGAGCCCCGCATCAGGCTGCCTGCTCAGTGGAGAGCCTGCTTCTCCCTCTGCCTCTCACCCCGCTCATGCTCTCTCTTGCTCTCGCTCTCCCTCTCGAGTAAATAAATAAAATCTTTTTTAAAAAAATCTAAACAAATGATTGAATTTTAGTTAAATTCTTCTATACTTACTTACCCTCTAACTGAATCTCTTCTTAATCTGAAAACTTACTTTGTTTCATCTGTATTAAATACTCTTCTTCATGATCTTCGTTAAGGAGATGAAAGAATACAAAAAAGTATGGGACTTGCTCTTTCTTAGGTGAGCCTTTGTATGGATTACTTTGTAACCATCCCTGTGTGCATCAGGTATTGGGTTAATAAATGGGTACAGCATGGCACCTACCCTCAAGGAACTTGCATTCAAGTCAGGGACTCAGCATGTAGGATAATCTATTCTCTCTTTTTGCCCATTTGAATCTAACCACCTTCAAAACCTCATTCAGTTCCCAAACCTTTCAGGAAATCTTCACCAGCTCAAACTCTCAGTGATACTCATTTTTTTGAACTTCTTTTTCGTTATTTAGTAATTGATATATATGGTTTTATACTTCTGTTTTGTTTCCTTAATAGGATTTTAAATTCCTTGTGAGCAGGAATTATTTTCCTGTTTTCTTTTGGATCTTATAAGCACATAATGAAGTAGTAGGTACATAATAGATGCTGAAGTATTTGCTGATTTCCTTGACTAAAGCCTTTTATTTAAAAAAAAATAAGGAGATATGAAACAAAACTTCAAAAAGAGAGCTTGCTTTTGTTCTTGTACGACTGCCAAGTATTGGTACTACTTTTGATTATTTGGAGGTTATTTGGTTTTGAGGAGAGAGTATCTTTCAGTGCCAAAGAAATTTGTTAGGGGGAAACAAATTGTGCAACAGTGAAGATGAGCAAGCTAGCTCATCCATGAGCCTACCTTTTACTTAACAGTTTACTCTCTTACAGATACTGCAGGAGAAGAGGCTGGGTACGATCCACACTCATTATGTCTGTCCCACAAACAAGCACTTCTAAAGGGAAAGTCATGCTTAAAGAATATAGTGGACGCAAAATTGAAGTAGAACACATTTTTAAGTGGATAACTGCTCATGCAGCTTCTCGGATCAAAACCATTTATAATGCTGAACATTTGAAAGAAGAATGGAATAAAAGTGATCAATATTGGGTAAAAATATACCTATTTGCAAACCTTGACCAACCCCCAGCTTTCTTCTCTGCACTAAGTATAAAGTTTACTGGAAGAGTTGAGTTTATTTTTGTTAATGTGGAAAATTGGGACAACAAGAGTTACATGACAGATATTGGTGTATATAACATGCCATCATACATTCTTAGAACTCCTGAAGGAATTTACAGATACGGAAACCACACAGGTGAATTTATATCCCTTCAGGCCATGGATTCATTTTTGCGCTCATTGCAACCTGAAGTAAATGATCTGTTTGTTTTGAGCTTGGTTCTAGTTAATCTTATGGCTTGGATGGACTTATTTATCACACAAGGAGCAACCATAAAGCGATTTGTGGTTCTCATAAGCACTTTAGGGACATATAATTCTCTATTAATTATTTCCTGGCTACCTGTGTTGGGCTTTTTACAGCTCCCTTACTTAGATAGCTTTTATGAATATAGCTTAAAATTATTGAGATACTCCAATACAACCACACTGGCTTCATGGGTAAGGGCAGACTGGATGTTCTATTCTTCACACCCGGCCCTGTTTCTCAGTACGTACCTTGGACACGGTTTACTAATCGATTACTTTGAGAAGAAGAGACGGCGCAACAACAACAATGATGAAGTCAATGCCAATAACTTAGAATGGTTATCAAGTCTGTGGGACTGGTACACCAGCTACCTCTTCCACCCGATTGCTTCTTTTCAGAACTTTCCTGTAGAATCTGATTGGGACGAAGACCCTGACTTATTCTTGGAGCGGTTAGCTTTCCCTGACCTTTGGCTTCACCCTCTGATACCAACTGATTACATAAAAAATTTGCCAATGTGGCGATTTAAATGTCTTGGAGTCCAGTCTGAAGAGGAAATGTCAGAGGGTTCTCAAGATATTGAAAATGACTCAGACAGTGAGAGCACAGACACTTTTAGCAGTGAAAAGGAAGTATTTGAAGATAAACAAAGCATAGTTCACAATTCTTCAGGAAGAGCAAGTCACTGTGATACTGAGGCTTGTTCATGTGCCAATAAATATTGTCAGACCAGCCCATATGAAAGGAAGGGGAGGTCATATGGATCATATAATGCTAATGAAGATATGGAACCTGATTGGTTAGCTTGGCCTGCTGATATGCTGCACTGTACTGAATGTGTTGTTTGCCTAGAGAATTTTGAAAATGGATGTTTGCTAATGGGGTTGCCTTGTGGTCATGTGTTCCATCAGAATTGCATTGTAATGTGGTTGGCTGGGGGCCGACACTGTTGCCCTGTTTGCCGGTGGCCTTCTTATAAAAAAAAGCAGCCATATGCACAACACCAGCCCTTGTCAAATGATGTCCCATCTTAACCATGTGCAATTTGTCCTTTATAAGCTTTGAGTATCTTACAGCTTGCCTTTTTAATGTTAGTCACAATGTTTTTGTGGTTTGAAGTTTAGTTTAATGTCAGTGCAGTGACAGGAAATACACATTATGCTAATGTTGATAATTACTTGGTTGCCTTGTGTGTCAATTGAATGCATACTTAATTGTAAAAATTTTTATTTACAACATTGGAAATTCAGAAGTTAATGTTTTTTGTAAGCACAAAAGAAGTATGATAGAAATTTATCCTAGCAAGACTTTACAAGGTAGGATCAAATTCTAATGGAATTGAGGCAGTTTCTTATCCTAAATGTTTCCTCCCTTTTTACAATCTCTGTCCAGCACCTCTTGGTTAAATAATGTATGCTCTGAGACATGAAATTAAAACAGACCTATGAAATAAATTATTTTAAAACCAGAAGATTACAGCTTTTCCAATGTTAAATTGTTTTTGATGAGGTGACTGAATGCTATAGGTGTTTTGCTGGTTTGTTAATTTCACAGGTAAGTCAAACGGAATCCTTGACTCATGAGGAAAAACAAAAAGATAAATTATGTTGCTTATACTAGCCAGAGGACATTAGTCAGCCTCTTAGCTTGGTTAGCGTTGATGGGAAGAAATTTCATGGTGGGCTCTTTTTTTTAAGTATTAAGTCGTTTATGAGTAGTATATTCATCTAAGTAAAATCAACTATACCATATTAGCCACATGTTGATTACTTATGTTTTTCCTAACTTTGATTTTGAAAAATTACAAAAACTACAGAAAAATTGGAAGCAGTACAATGAACATCCATTTCTCTAATTCACCAAGTGTTGGTATTTTGTTACCTTTGCTTTATCTTCTCTGTGTATATCTTTTTTCTTTTCTCTGGTTTGTTTTTTGTTTGTTGCTGATCCCTTTGAAAATAAATTTTAGTCACCCTGATGTTTCTTTACCACTGAATATATCACCATGTATCTCCTAAGAACAAGAACTTCTTTTTACATAACCACTATATCATTATCACACCCAAGAAATTTATTAACATTGACTCAGTAATATTTAATATCCAATCCCTACTTACCACTTGCTTCCAAAATATCCTTTATATGTTTTCATTTTATTTTTATTGTGAACCTCAGGCAAGGTTCATGCATTCATCCTTCTTCCTTTCATCCTTTTCTCTAAGAGCAGTTCCCTGCCTTTTTTTTTTTTTTTTTTTAAGTCTTTCCTGATAAATTTTTGAAGAGTACAGGCTAGTTGGCTTATAGAATGTTCTACATTCTGGATTGGTCTGTTTCCTCATGATTAGATTTAAATTAATATTGCCTGGATGATATCTACCTCCCATTTGTATGACATCAGAAGACATTTTGTATCAGTTTGTCCCATCATTGGTGAAGCTAAATTTGGTTAAAGTAATTTTCCATTGTAAGATACTTTTTCACTTAAGAGGGAACCTGTGAGGCTATGTGAATATCCAATTTTTTTTTAATTTTTATTCCAGTATAGTTAACATTCAGTGTTATGTTAGTAACCCAATGGTTTTAACATCCACTGATGGTTATTAGTCTAAATCAGTTATTAAATAGGATTTGTACCATGGCGATTTTTTTTCTTTTTTTCTTTTTCTTTTTAAATTGGTTGATTTAGAGACTGAGCGTGGGGGCAGGGATGGGGCGGGGTTAATAGGGGCAGAGGGAGAGAATCTCAAGCAGACTCCCCCTGAGCGTGGAGCCTGACTCAGGGCTCAATCCCACAACCCTGAGATCATGACCTGAGCTGAAATCAAGAGTCAGATGCTCCACCGACTGAGCCACCCAAGCGCCCCATAACGTGGGGATTTTCTAATTGCATCCTTCATTCTACATTTTTTAGCTGGCATTTGTGTGTGTGTGTGTGTGTGTGTGTGTGTGTGTGTGTGTGTGTGTGTGTGAAGAACAGCTATTTTTCCATTTTTCTTTCTCACATACTTTGAATATTACTGGACTTAGTCTCTTTTTACATTCAATGTGTTAAAATTCATTATTCTTTTTGATTTCCGATTCCCAAATTTGGTAAGTGGGAGCTCCTCTAGGCCAGCTCTTCTGTGCTATTGATATATCCCTTTCAATCTTCAAGCACTTGCTTGCTTTTTGACACAAGGTGTTCCAAGCTCACTTTGTGTTTTCCCTGGCCCTGCACTGTGATCAGGTCTGAGTTTCACGGTGCACTTTTAAAATCTTTTCTTGGCTGCCCCCCAAAATGGTAAGAAAATATAATTTTCTTACTCTGAATTACTGCTGGGTTACTAGCAGAAACTTTTTTTTTTTTTGCTTCATAGTAGACGGAGCCTCATTTTCATACACTAATGAAAATATTAAGGACCAGCTATTAATATTTGGGAGCTCTTTTAAATTTTTAAATAAAAATGCAAACACTGCTCCTTGTGCTTCTAATTTTCCTTTTGAAAAAAGGTAATCATGTCCTAGAGTTCTGCCATGGGTTCACTGCTCTTTCATGTTTTCAGTGGATGTCCCCAGTCTACATGGCCAAAGGCCCCTCCCCAGGTCTCCAGTTTTATATTCAGCCATCTGCTGAACAGCTTCTCCTGGGTGCATTTCAGTACTTAGTAAAACAGCTTTTCCTTGTCTCTCCTACCCCCAGTCCTCTTAGGGTCCTGATTTCAGTTAATGGGTCATAGACCCATAATATTGTCCCATTATGGGGCACCTGGGTGGCTCAGTTGGTTAAGTGACTGCCTTCGGCCCAGGTCATGATCCTGGAGTCCTGGGATCGAGTCCCACGCTGGGCTCCCTGCTCGGTGGAGAGTCTGCTTCTCCCTCTGACTCTCCCCCGTCTCATGCTCTCTCTTTCTGTCTCTCATTCTCTCTCTCTCTCAAATAAATAAAATCTTAAAAAATATATATTAAAAAAATATTGTCCCATTATGAAATGTACACAAAAGTATAGACATTTTAAAAGACAATTAAAATTTCTCCATCCTAGGGCACACACATCACACTTTGGAGACTACTACCCTAGAAGATAAACCACAGTCTCCTTAAAACCAGCTTTCAAGGCCCTTCATAATCTTCCTGGTTGACTTCAAAGAGACATCATCACACTCTGGAGTGCTTGTCTCTCCAGGCCCATGCTCTAGTTTTTCTCAGCTTGGTGCTTTGCTCTCACCTCTACCTAGTGTTCTCATCCCTTCTCTGGTTTGGCTAGATCCCACTTCATCCAGAAATTCTACACCCTCCTGCCCATCTTTTCCTTCCCCACCAGGCTTGTAAAGAGACAAAGATATCTACACTGAAAGCTCAGGCAGCTGTCATCTTACTCAAGTGATCAAACTTAGTATCACCAACAGTGGAGCAGATTGATACGTGCTTCTTCTAATCTTAGTGATATCTTGCCCTTTCTTGATACGTGCCCTTCTTACATTCCGCTGATACCTTGCACACGTCTGTCATACTTAACTGCATTGTATTGAAACTATGCATGTGCGTCTTTTGGGTGAACTACTTTAAGGTAGCACCTGTGCACTAGTCATCTAAATGTCCACAGTGCAGGGCATAAAATAGATACACATTTCGAATGTTAGACACGCAGTAAAAATAATACAATGAAGTTGGGGAGGAAATAATTGCCAGAGGGTCAGGTCTCCAGGGAAGCTTGACTCATCTTAATCGTTAAGCATAGCATATAATGCTTTTGTCAGATTTTCCTGGAGGCGGAGAATTGAAGGAAATATTCAAGGTTGACAGACTCTAAACTTGAACTGTGTTTAAAAAGAAAGTTCGAATTCATAGAGCAACCTATTGAATTTAATAAACTAAATTTTCCAAGTATGTGGGCTTTGTAGTTACTGAACTCTGGTTAACTGTAATAGTAGGATACATGATTGTGTTCTCAAAAGTTTTTCTACAGTCTTCTCTCATGTTTTTGTGTAAGTCTTTCTTTAAGGATAAGAGATCCCTGAGGGCAGGAGTAATGTTATAATCTACTGTTATATCCTTAACATATTAGACCCAGAGTCGACATTCAGTAAGTAATTATTGGCTTGAGTTTTAAAAATCTATTTTAATTTTGCCCTTTACCAAACTTTTTACCACCCATCTAGTGTAGGTAGAAAAGACAAATTATATTTTTAGTACCCATTAGCACTGACAATGACCTCGGTATTTATGGCCTGCTCCAAGACAAAAATCTTATTTTTTGTAGTCCCACACCTCTTTTCATCTCCAGATTATTTGGGAGCCTGGAAGATTATTCATGTAATCTTTCTCTTTGCTCCCACGTTTTTCCCCTTGACCATTTTATTATTACTTAAAACTATCCAAGAGACAAAAGGTAGCATAGGGAAAGTGTTGGGTCCTTTTTGCTATTGGATTTGATTAAAATTTAGATAAGAAAGAATGGAAATTTTAATTGTTAAAATGACATTTTGAATCTTTTAATCATTCTAGTTCTTGTTGCCAAAAATTTAAGTATACTGATTAGGCAATCTCTTTGCTTAATTTTTTGTGCCATCTTCTCACCCAAAGTTTTTATTGATTCGTATATAATAGATCATTTTACTTAATAATATCCCTGTGCAACAGGTGGACAAGAAGGAATCCCGACTTAATAGGTGATCGAAATTTAGGACAACCAAGGTAGTTAAAGATGTGACTAGGACACAGCTTCCAAATCTGAACATCTTCAGGGCCCAGTGAAACAGGCTTAAGGAGGAGTGGTAGAGGTAACAGTGTGTTTGCTCCACCTAAACGTACCCAAATATTTTCTTAAAAAATGACGTCAGCCAGTCAAAGCTGTGGTGGATTCTTTAAAACCTCTGGATAAGATTCTATCTTGTTCAAGTTTCTTTCTACCATATTTTCGCTTAGAAATAAGTGCTTTGTAGAAAAGACAATAGGAATAGTCTTTTGTCAAAATTACATTATCCTTTATGCTGATGCTAAATTGCGTACTTGTTACTGTCAAGTTTTCTTAGTTTATGTGATGATGGAATGATAGGTTCTTTATATTATATGCTGAACAAATGGTGCTTGAATATTCTCACTTATAGTCTGTTTTAAAACACTCTTAGAATTGACAATATCTAACAATTTATAACGTATTTATCTAATAAGAACAAAAATGAACTTAAAAGTAGAGAGGTACCCAAACAGATGTCAAAGGTCAGGTACTACCTGTTTTCTTTTTTTGTTTGTTTGTTTTTTAATTTATTTTTTCCAACTGTATTGAGATAAAATTGACATATAATATTGTGTAAGTTTAAGGTGTACAATGTGTTGACTTGATAGATATATATTGCAGTTTGATGACCATGGTAACATTAGCTAACACCTCCATCGCATCACATGATTTGTAATAACATTTGAGATCCACTCTCTTGGCAACTTTCAAGTAAATAAATACAGTATTTTAAGTATAATCACAATGTTGTGCATTAGAT